GTAAAGTAAACAGCAAGAAGTAGGAGAGGAAAGAAGAAGAGAGAAAAGAGAGGGAAGAGAGAAAGGCTGGTTCGAATTAGAGAAAAAAGTAATCCCTAGATTCGGCCAGACCTGTTATTATATTATTAACTTATTGGAAAAGACTTAAGTGCCCTTCTTTAAGTAAGAGGCACTCGAACTAACATAACAGTACACATCAACATTCTCAACAAGTACAAAGACCGAAATACCCCTTCACTAACACCACTAACAATCTTCATTACCTTTTGTCAAAAAAAGGGAAAAGGACCAAAAACTGTCTATGGTAGGCAGCAGTGAAAATACAAAAACAGCTAAAAGCTGACCACACAATTACAAATAGGACAGAACTAACCATGAAAGAAGCATTGTTCACAAAGCATGAGCCAAAACTTTGGAACTAAATTGTCAGAGACTGTTAGTCTGATTTTATAATTTGTCATGTAAAATGAGATTAAATAATTGTATTTTTGCAATCGCTTGGTTTTTTAATCTGTTGGAGTATATATATATTCCAACAGATATATATATATATATATATAGAGAGAGAGAGAGAGAGAGAGAGATCAATGGATAAGTAATCCAGAAAATAAGAGTTACAGGTGACCCAAGGAAAGGCACGAGATGTGACCTTTCCTTTAAGATTGATTACAGCATTACAAGATCAGATGAACATGATTACAAGGTAGCCCAAAATAAAGAGTCCCGAGAAACCCCTTGTTTAGCAAGTGAATCAGCCATAGAGTTTGCTGATCTGCCTACCCACTGGACTCTGACTGTCATATTTCTTGTTAGCCATTTGATTTTTTTTAAAGAGGTCTCTATAGCCCCAAATCACAGAGTCCGGATTCAGCAGCCATCCCACCACCACCTGAGAGTCCCCTTCAATAAGCAAGTGCTCTATCCCTAACTGGTTTCATAAGTAAAAGAAAGCCATATATATTGATTCTTGAGAAATTTCACATAGTTGAAAGTTTAGTTATTGACTTAATAAAATTAAAAAGCTAGCATTTTTACACTCTTCCTTTAGTTTTACAAACCAGCCTGAAATATAGCTGCAATGTGTGGATTATTTTTCAGGATTATAATGTGATGTTATAACAATTCTTTTGATTCCAGGGCTTGTTTAGAGCAGTGTGAGAAGACTGGTTGTGTTAGGGACTTGTGTTTTCAGCACTGCAGATTCTCATCTGATGGTGTCCCTATTGATGGTCCATGGTACATGCAGGAACCACTTTATTTGAGGTGGAAACAGTGGGATTGTCAGAGTGACTGTCGGTACCACTGCATGCTTGACAGAGAGAGGGAAAGAGAGAAACTGGGGAATAGGCCTGTCAAATATCATGGAAAGTGGCCTTTCCAGCATGTCTTTGGAATTCAGGTTTGTTGTCCTAATACTTGTTTATTATGATGCTACTTTGTTTGGAATTGATATTTTCGTAATTGATTATCTGCTTTACCTGCCTCAAAGGAAATGAGAAGAGCAAAGTAAAAGAAAAAGAAAAATTATTATTCATGTTTCAGGAGCCTGTTTCTGTGGCGCTTTCTGCATTAAACCTTGCAATACAGTTCCATGGATGGCTGTCTTTTTTCATTTTGCTGTACTACAAATTGCCTCTGAGGCCAAATAAAAAAACATTTTACGAGTACACTGGCTTGTTTCATATCTATGGGCTCTTATCAATGAATTCCTGGTTCTGGAGTGCTGTTTTTCACACACGGTAAGATTTGGTTTCTTTCCTTCTCTTTTGTCTGGCCTGCTCCTCCTTTCAGGATAACATTGGCATTTTTCTTAAAGATGGCAGAGGCAGTGGGTTAGAGTTCTCTACAATTATATCTACACTTTGATCCAAAATATGCATAGTTCATTGTCAATGTGGAGTCTATAAGTGAATGAAAAGTTTTGATTACAATGTTTTGAAAATGTTCCCTATCCTTTTAGATGTCCATAATGCTTCATTGTATTGTGATGTGCATGTATGTATGTGTTGGTGTGTGTGTGTGTATTTAGATTACTGGCAACTTCTTCTGTTAAGTTATTTGAGAAATTGGTTAGGGCTAAGAACATTTCCTAATTTTTCTTTGTTTAATTTTGTTTTGTTGAATTATCCTCAGAGATGTGGGTCTAACAGAGAAGCTACACTACTCTTCAGCTGTGGCATTCCTTGTTTATACCCTTATTCTGGCCATACTAAGAACGTTTAATGTGAGGGATGAAGCTGCTAGAGTCCTGGTTGCGGCCCCATTGATTGCATTTGTGACAACCCATATCTTATATCTCAACTTCTATAAACTTGACTATGGTAAGCCTTCATCAATCCACATAAGGTTTCTTCCCATTCAACTTAGAGACCACTGCACTACTTATGGCATGTTTATCATGTGGTGCCCAGTACAGGTGTCAATTGGACTGGATTTGGTCCAATCCGGTCCAGTCCAATGTGAATCCATTACAAATGGACCTGGTCCAATCCAGTTCAATGAATATTTTGGACCGGTCCAGAGACTGTCCAATCTGTTCAAATTCCTGTTAATTTAGATTGGTTTCAACTTAAACCTGGTCCATTGACACCTATGTTCTTATCTTCTATCAATGGATCAGATATTGGCTCAATCCAATATAAATTCATTATGGATGGACCAGGTCCAATCCAATATGTCATATTGGTTTGTCCAATCTGTCCAAATTCAATGTCTTATTGGTCCGTCCAAATAGATTTTGATTTGGATGGAGTCCAACCCAAAACCGGTCCATTGACACCCCTAGTGCCCAGAGTCTACTTGGACCAATCAAGGTTTTAGGAGACAAGAACATTGCATCAATCGGACATCTCTAACTCTGGCCTAATCTGTGTCTCTATGTTTGTCTTTAAAAAAGGAAATGACATAATAGTCACATTGTGTTTTTATTGGTCATCATGCTGTTAGGTGTATGTGTTGATGATAAAGTATCTGCATTCATCATGGAATGGAATTTCCTGGGCATGTGTTGCAGTGGGTGGGGCTGCTGGAAAAGATTGCACCTTTCTCTTATATCTATATGAACAATTCTCTGACTGTTTTTGGAATTATGTAGGTTTGAACATGAAAGTGTGTCTTATCATTGGAATAGCTCAGCTTCTCCTGTGGGCTGTCTGGGCTGTTCTGGCTCACCATCCATCACGGTTGAAATTGTGGATAGTTGTCATGGGTGGAGGCCTTGCTATGCTCTTGGGGGTATATGATTTTCCTCCACACCGGGGATTTGTGGATGTTCATGCTCTCCAACATGCTGCCACCATTCCTTTAAGCTACCTCTCGTGGAGCTTCATCAAAGATGATGCAGAGTTCAGGACTTTGAATCTTGTTAAGAAGGTAAAGTAGGTCATATTGATCCTTTTGATGCAATCATCATATTATGCTAACTATTATCCACCCACTGTTGTATTAATTGAAAATGTATTGTTCCTTTCTTTCCTCCAAAAAGGTTTGTATAAAATTTCATGTGTCAAAGGATTACTAATGAGGGTTTTATGATTGATTTTTTTTTTCCTTAATTGAAAATAGATCCCATTTCATCATTGTTTCTGCGTTTTCCTTTTAATGGGAATGATTTCAAAAAATTTTACCATCAAATGTGGGATCTATATCGAAAAGATAGCCTAAATGGTTGGAATTCAGAGAGTAGTCTTAAAACATTGCCACATCGGTGCCTCCACACTTACTTTTCAAATAAACACTCCCAAACTCCACCTTAATAGAGCACAATTACATAGCAGAATTCGTGTTGCCAACTTCATATAGTTGAGATTAAGGCTAAATTGAGTTGCTAAAATCACATTTATCTTTACTGTGTAATGCCAATACTTGCCTTTGGCCTCACGTCTCAAAATTTTAGTGCATGTCTTCTGCTCTCCCCACTATATTTGTCTGTTTCTTGTATGTGCATTTACATGTGCAAGTCAACTAGTATATACCCACATGAATCCACCTGTTTCTGCCATAAAGAAAAAATTATGCGTGATTTAGACTGTCCTTTAATATATGGGACCTACTTGGTTGGCTACATGTTCAATGAACTCCAGAACCTATATCAGCCATATGAACATCTTGTATTGGCTATAATGTTTTAGTCATTTAAAATTTCAGTTTAGGGGCTGTTTGGTAAGTCTTTTTATGTAGATCTTTTGATAATAAGCTGACTAAAAGGCATGTCGAGCTTTTTGATGTTTGTTTTCAAGTCCAAGACTGTTAGAGAAGTACCCTGGTCAATCAGGCTGTTAAAAACGGAGTAGAAGGATATCTTAGGTTTTGAAAGACCAAAGTTTCATTTGAAGCTTTTCGATATTCTGCTGTTTTGGGCTTCTGCGAATTTTTAAGGGAGTGGGCCCTTCTTGGCTTTTCATCTTTTATTGCCAAAATGGGAAAGACTAAAATTTGGTCTTCCAAGTTTTGAATATCACAAAAGAACCCAAGGGAAGACTTCCAAAATACCCTCTTAATAAAAGGAGCTTATTTTGAATTCATGGCAAGGCTTTTTTGAGTTGAATGTGGGGACGGGAATTTGGAGTCGTTTTGAGTTCGAAATGGTTTTGCAATGTGTACAAGAAAAAAAATAATAGATGTTAAAAGATCGATATCACCCAACTGTACATTTTGGGTTTCCGTTTTTGAGAACTATGGTGCATTTCGAATTTTTTTTTTATCATGGTTTATTTTCATTAGTTTATATTTCACAAGGTATATTAATCATTAAATAATTTAACAACATTAAATGTTATTGTGACAAATTGCTTATCATCGTTTGTTTGAATTATATTGCTACAATTTCTATAGAATGCATTATAGATTTTTCGAAACATTTATAGTAATGGAGAGATGCCATCATTAAGAATTGGTCACTTGATGCAAAGTAGAACCATAGAAACATTAGTTATCGTGTTGAAAGCTCAGCAATTGGTGTGGTTATTCGGGACTTTGATGGATGACTTTAAGGTATGCTATAACAAAGAAGATCCTGTCGTGCTCTCCCTTGTAAGATGAAGCGATAGCCTTTGTTGAAGGATTGAGAGCAGCTGTAAAGTTAAAATTTCAAAGTATTATTCTCGAAGGAGATTTGCAGATTTTGGTGTAATCTCTATTAAAGGATGTTCATTATTCTCATTGGTGGATCTTTAATCTCATTGGTGCCTGCAGGGATCTCCTTCGATTTTTCTCAAGCGCTGAAGTTAGTTTCATTGGTAGGGGTGGGAATAGGGTAGCTCACGTTCTTTCTAATGGTATGATGATCCACCAACTTGTATTTCTGGATTGGTGTTGGAGTCTTATTTGTAACCCTCTGTCTATAATGAATTACGGCCTGAGGGCCTTCACCTTAAAAAAACCTGGCTTATCTAACTGCATAATCGATGACCATAAATTGCAAATGTCATGCTCATGCATTGCTGGGATGTTAATGGACCAGTTTTGGGTTGAACTCCATCCAAATCAAAATCAAGTTGGATGTATTAGATGGTCCAATAAGACATATTGAATTGGATCAGCCCAGACTTGATGGTTCAAAGTATTTACTGTATTAGATTGGACCTACTGGTCCATCTGTAATGTATTTATATTGGATTGGGTCAGATTGAACCAATATCCAGTTCATTGATAAAAGATAAGAGTACAAGTGTCAATGGGCCAGGTTTGGATTAGAACCAATTTAAACAGATTGGGCTGTTCAGACGTTGAATTGGATTGGTCCAAAATGATCTAAAGTATTTATTGGATTGGTTTGGGCTCATATTGATCCAGATCGGATTGGAAGAAATTCGGTCTAATTAGCACATGGACAGAAAGGCTATGATATGAGAGGAGAAGAGGTTGAGAGCTTCGAAAGGAAAGTACATGGTTGGTTAGTTGGACTCTCAATCCATTTGGAAATTGGAACAGAGGGCCAGAGGGGTTACTTAGTGGAGTAGTCCATGATCCATGTGCCGTGTCCATCACGGAGGAGATCGAGCAGGATCCTCTGTCTTCTTCCCTTAGTTTTCGGATCTTTGTTTTCTTTGCCCTATTGATCGAATTTTTTATTTAGAAGACTTCGTCCCCTTGAAACTGATGAAATTGATGAGAATAAGGCTTGGCTTAGCAACTCGGCAGCAATGGCATACCTCCAAATGTCAATTTACAAAGTTTGAATTTGGAGCGTAGATCATATGGGAACCAGGTTTGTAAAGGTTTTCCTAAACCTTTCTCATTCTTTCCTTACTTTTTCCTTCAAACCAAACATATCGAAAAAGAAGGAAACTGTGATAGCTTTTACTTTAGAGCTGGAAAGGATGAATGGATCCTCCATGCATTTATTTTCCACCCTTGGGTGTAAAATTAGCAGAATGGCAGGTTCCATGTGTGTGTCCACTTGAAGGCAAGTCTCTAGTTGTTTCACAGGACACAAGGCCATGCAGCAATGCCACACGGCAGGTTCCATATGTGTAGTTGAGCCAGATTTAGTTTTGGTGGGAGCTGCAACTCCGTCTCCACCGCTTTGAGACCGGCCTTACAGTTCATAGTTTTATGTGTACGCGACACTGCACCAGTCTCCATGCCGTGGCCTGTGGCTGTGGGGCTCCCTAAAACTACGGACTGTATGCCTCTTAATGCACATGCCATGACCTATCGCCTTTACACTTGCTGGTTATTGTTTTGTTACATTAAAAGCAGTTTTTATTTTTATCCCAGAAAAACAAGTTCGGTTTCCAAGGTCGAATTGAGAATCCTAATTCACCAAGTGGACAGACATTTCCATGGTTTTTCTTTTCTCTGCTACTGGTAATGGTAAAACATTAACATACTATGAGATGGTAGTGAAGTGTATTTCCCGGCCGGTACATTCTCGGAGAAACTTGTATTATCATCACAACTTTGACTTTCCAACATCGGTCGCTCTTTTTCTCCAAAATGTGGTCCGACTCCCAAGTCCCACCCACAGCCCTGAATTTCTTTCAGTCTGGTGCAATGTTGCAGGACTCGATCGTGACATATTGCTCAACTACCCAAACATGAAACATTCCGTCTCTTTTCTTATTTTTCTTGCATAATCAAACTATTATTAGCAAGTGGAGTGGTAACAGGAAATTACAATAACAACACGCTTCTTCTTCTTCTTCTTCTTCTTCTATCTTCTTCTATTAGATTATTTAATTTGCATTCATATCAAATTCCTCTTTTCTTCGTCATCTTGGGCATTTTCTGATTGATGAAGAGTAGTCGTAGTAGTAGTGGGAGTCTTGTCATGTTTAAAAGAGGATTTTGCTTTGGCATTCCTGGCAACGGCAGAGGAGGTAGTGGCCCTGGTGGGGTTGCTTTCGGGCAAAAGCTTCAGTATGATGCCCATGGCTATGAGCAAGAGTCCTGTCCCATGCTGTTCCGTTAAGGGCTTCGTGAATATCAAGTAAGACAGCAGTAATGTCACTGCCTTTCTAGCTGTTGTCACCTGCATGCATTCATTATTCGTCAACAAAGTTTTCAAAATCAGACCGGACTGGACGATCGGACCAAAAAAATTTGAGAACCGGTCAGATGATTGGTTTCGTTTTCCCTAAAAACCAGATTTCCCTCAAAACTGTTGATTTTGGTCAATGAACTTCTGAACCGGGTAATTAACTGTTGGAACGATTTTGACCATTTTTTATTTTTTGTCAGAACGAACCAAGCATTCGGTTTGAACGATCGAACCATTCGACCCGATAACTGGACCCCTGACCGATTCGGCCACCGGGTCTGTACAAAACTATGAAAGAGAGCCAGAGAGAGAGAGAGTGGAGAGATGTCCATATTCAACATTAGATCTACATACCATGGCCGTGGTAGCAGCCCCAAAAATGGCGATGAGAGACAGAACGGAGACTTGTCCTACAAAAGTGGCCATTGCTTCGAACACTAAGACGCCGTAGACGTAAAGATGCTGCACTCAAATCAAAACCCAATTTAACATATATCAACCAAATCCCAACATAGTCTCATGTACTAACAAATACAGAGCAGAGCAACCAGTTATCAGTGAAACTGACGTCGTTGAGACCGTAAACGGGTTGGGGTTGTGGGTCCTCATGTTAAGGAGAAGACTTCGCCAGCAAACCAGCTCGCTAGCTAGCTCCTTCGGGCTGTGACGTCCTCACCATTGGTCGCCTCACATGCACATCTATCATCGTGCATTGGGAACATCTCCCGTGAATAATAATAAATAACTACGGGAGATTCGATAGGATGTGCGTGTGAGGCGCCGGGTGGAAAGAGCAGATCCGGTCTCCTTCAGGCCTTGTGACTTAGGGCCCACCTTATATTATATTTTATTTCTCTACCTACCTGGTGACTTGGGTCTTATATATATACTAAGCACAGGCTACAGGCTACAGGCTACAGGCTACAACACATTTATCATTGATTAATTAATTGATTACTTTTGTGGTGTCCCCTCCACAGTAAAATCACATATAGTGATATGACAGAATATACAGATCTCGAATCGGATTTCTTTCTTTCACCCATTTAGCCCAACGTTATATTTACTCACATCTAATTTATTTGATTATTTCTCCACTTAATATGGCATAAAAATCTCCCAAGAATTTGTTCACTAAATTTAGAAAATTCTGTTGCAGAGACCAAATGGACACCTGAGAGCATGAATTCCAAGCCTTGAACAGCTCCCCCGTTAAGAGCATGGGCGGGATCAAGAATGGCAGCCCGACTACTGTTGAGCAAAACAGCATCTCCATCTGCGTCAAAAGGATTACTAGATCAAAACCAGACAACAAGTGTTTAACAATAAACCTGAGACGAGATGAAATCATGAAATGGAGATGATCATACCTGCGTGGTCTCGGGATTCATGGTGAAGATTGCCTCTTGCAGATTACCCAGGAAGGAGTCCATGACAAGAGCACCTGTTACCATCACGACGCCGATAACGCTGAAATTGGGAGATGTCTGAGAATCCGCCAAGGTAAAAAGGATGAGACCCACTACGAGAAGCAAAGCTGAAACGTATTCATGGACTGGATATTTCCGTCTCAGGCCTGGAATGAAGGCACCCATTACCATCACCGGCAGTACCTGAACTCCAGAATCATTAAAACATAAGAATCAAAAGTAGATAGAGAGATTTTCTTACCTAAACTTCTCAAATTTTAATTGGGCAGTTCTTAAAACTTCAGTTAACTTCAATGGAGATGACATTAAGCAATAAACACTACCCGTTTTCTGCTCTAGGAGTAAAGCTTTACCAACAATAAAGCTAAGCGTGTGATCAAAATAAATAAACAAAATGCAGGAAATACCTTAGTGGATTTGAACATGAGTTGAGCAGGGTAGTTAAGAAAAGCTAAAGACCCTTTGGTTAGTCCATGAGATCCCATCAGAACTGCAGAGAGCTTGACGTAGGTCTTCCATGGGTTCACCGTCTGCTTAGTGGTGAAGCCTTGGAAATATATGAGCGCCAAATATACAAACCCTTGAACAAAGGTGAAGTACCAACCATAGCTGGAAGAACAACAAAGTTCAATATCACTTATCCTAATTTGGAATTTAAAGCAAACAAACATGGTTTAATTAAAAAAAAGGAGAAACAACATAGAATTCAATATTTAGATAGAGAAGAATATGAAAAGACCTGAAGTGGAGGCGATTGTACACATACTCCTGAAACAAGACAAGAAATCAGTAAAAACAAAATGGCAGCCCCTGATGTAAGAGCATCATTCAGAAAGCATAAGTGATCTTATGAATGTGGCTTCATAAAAAAGAAAAAACTGGTCTTATGGATGAAGAAAACAGAGCAGTAAAAAAGAATAGGAAAAAAAATCAATGATCCCTATCCCAAAATTCTTTCGACTAGTTTATTTAAAAAGTATGAAGAGTGATTACTCCAAATAGGACAGCGAGGAATAAAAATGTGAATCCGCATGAACAAGAAACACGAGAAAAAACTATTTTCCTGCATAGCTTTAAATGAAAACAGAGTAAAAAAAGTCGGAACAAAAAAAAATCTCAGGATTGCGATTCCGAAAATTTTGCAAGGAAGAAAATGAGGACCTCGCAGATGCCATTGACGAGGTAACCGAAAAAGAAACCAGAAGAGCAAATTAGAAGTTGTTGCCACTTGGGTCGGTCGGATAGGGAAATCCCAAACAGAGAGCGAGCTTGTTCTTCGTTCTTCATCTCTTCTCCACACTCGTCGCCACAGAGCGTCCGGTTAAGCCAGACACCGAAGAAGCGGAACTTTGATCAACGATATAGAAGATTCAGATGTTACAAACATTGAAATGAAGATTGAAGGTGCATGGCTTCTGCTGCTGCTGCATGTTGATCAAACAACAAAAGGGACCGTTTGGTTCCAGGAGGCAGGCGCAAGGAAAGTATCCCACACAGAACAATGAAAAAGAAAACTTCACCTTTACAGACTAGTGAATTGCTTCGGTTAGCTTGGATTAGACTGAGACAGATATTTATACAGAGACTAGACACTAGAGAGAGAGAGAGAGGGCGCAGATTCTAGTTCTGTTTCCTTTGCTGGGGTCGAGAAAAGGAAAGATTAAAGAAGTGAAATTCGAAAGAAACAGGAATTAAGGAAAGAGATGTCGGTTCTCGGCTCTCGGGGGCATGTTTCAGCCTCAGCGGTTAGAACTTAGAGCTTTGGGAAGGAGGGTCACGATTTTATTGCCTTTCCCACCAGATATTCCCTCCTTGTTTTTTGACACATCATCCTGTTTGTACGTCGTACCCCACCAGAGTCTTCTGTCTTCATCTGGCACTGTTGAAGATGTAGGTCCCATCATTTGTGTGTAGAGACCATGTACGAATTCTTCCAATCGCAATTCAACGCACTCTTTACGAGATATCTCTTGTGATTATAATTGAATCATAGGCCACGATCGTGAGTTGGTTCGTTTTAGAGCCATGTGTCCTCGCCGCACTTTGCATGGCGACTGGCGAGGTCGCAGCTTTCTGATTACTCTGACGTGTAAGTGGGGCAGACCATTTATTTAACGGATGCTGGTGTTACATGGGCCGGGTTGCCCGAACCCAACCAGGCTTTATATTTCCCATCCCATCCCTATTCCCTATTGTTGAATTTGAACCCAGTACCTTCTAAATTCTAACTAGGCTGCACACGGATCGGACATATCTAAATCCAAATCCAAATTTAATTCATTAATATACGAGTTAAATCTTATCCATCGGATTTAAAATGAATTTGCTATTGTATACAAATAATTTATGAAAATTCTATTTATTTATCTATTTATGTATCTATGTATCTATATATATCTATTTATCGCTCTCTCTCCACGCTATTTTGATTCCAATGAATCACCTTCCTCGACTTAATTTGTTTTGGTCACGTCCCATCGCTTTCTTAGACTCATGTTTGATTACGATTTGAAGATCTTCATCACGTCAAACCTCCTAAATCGTGTGCAACTAGAACTTCCACCATTCTTTATTGCTTTTGGAGTAAACCAGAAGATGTAAAATTGCCATATACTCAGTTTCTCACCATCTTCGCAACTCAAATATTCTTGGCAGCATTTTGGACCAACTATGTATTTGGTTCCATTTATGTTTATTGAATAAATGTTTGTATTTTATTTGCTGGTAAAATCGAGAAGTGCAATAATTACAATCGTTTATGACAATTAGGCGCTACTAGGTGCCATCGGACTCCACATTAGCGTAACAGTGAAAAAACGCTTGATTGTTTATGGAAGCTTTAAAAAATAACTTCTACAAATGGCTGACATGCACAAAAATCAAAGTTAACTTTTTTCATTTTTAATAAATATAAAAGATCAAGAGAGAGAAAATGCTGAAGTAGTGCCTATGTGGCACCATCAATAAACATTTACTGAATTAACATAAACGGAACCAAACACCCTCTAAAAGGAGAGGTGGCAGATTTCACATATCTTTCATGAAAAACAGAGGCATTTTGGACCAAGAGGAGGTGGAACTACATTGTAAGAAAGTAATAGGGGCAGAACTCTCTGTTTCATCGCCCAAAGAGGTCAAGTCCTCTTTCCCATCTCCGTTGTTCTTTCTCTATTACCAATTAATGTTAAATATATTTCCCTTTTTCCCTAAAACTAGGAGCAGAAACACATTATTTTAGTGGAGAAAAATATGTTTTTTAGGCGTGAATAGTAGCTTTTACTCTTGGATATAGGTACTTTTTCTCCATCTTTTTAAGTTCATTGTATAGTGCGAAGACTATATGTGTATTTAGAAAGAAAAAATTAGGCAAAAAATCCAAAAGAAAGGGAAGAAAATCTTTTAGAAACCCGTTCTTTACAGTCGGGTGAGGAAGACGATGAAAATCAATTCGTTTTTGAAAATTGTATAGCGGGTCGACTTCGACCTAGTTTAGATAATTGGTCGACATCGACCCGTTTGCAACCTAGTTGTTTACCGTGTCATACATGGTGCAAGTAGATTAGTGGAAAGAATGACTAATTAGTAGATTAGTAGATTAGTAAATTAGCATATCAATAGATTAGTAGATTAGTAGAAATAATTACTGATGGTGTGCGATCTGGAAGCTCTTAGCTGGAGAAGTGCCTGGACATACTCATGTGGCGAGCTGGATCAATCTGCAAAGGGCTCAGAGAGACTGGGGTGGAAGACCCAATGAAGTCGCTTCAATGCTTAAGTCAGTACTCTGTTGTATTTGCGAGCTAAGTATGAATGCTAGAGAGCTTGAGTGCAAGTAATCGCGCGTACCTTCGCCTTGAGAATCAATGCCCTTATATATTTGGGTAGCTGTGAATCCTACGAAAAAGGCTCCAGGATCTCTGGGCTGCATAGATAAGATCCGTTCTGTTTCCGAAGGAGAGCAATGCGCCAGTTGATAAGGTTTATCACTTCCCTCCTATTCGGGTGGAGTGAAGATGAGCTTTGTTATTAGACGTCGTGATCCCAAGAGATTCAAAGTCCGTTGGGGAAGCTTCTAGAGTTGATTATGTGGCACTTCGGTTCTTTGGCCCTGAACTAAATTGGGTGCCAAGGTGCCTTTATGCCGAGATGACTATGCCGAGGTGCTCAAGTTCCCGAGCTCCCGAGCTCCTAACAAGGCTTCCCTTGTTGAGTTGTCATCCTTTTGGCTAATCGCAGCCACATGTACCTCGGTCGCTAGGTTGGGCCAAATCACCCCTCATCAATCGCCCCCCACTCCCCGTGCCAGGGGTCGTAATCCCGGTGCAGGGAGTTCACGGTCAGTGCAAGCAAGTTGGCCCGATTTCTTCTTGGTTCACCTCCCGATTTTATGGTCGGACCAATGTAACCCATGTGGCTCAATCGAAAAAACTAGATCGCATGTCGGGTTGCGCGAACTCGATGCAGGTTATTAACTCCGTGAATGCCAAAAATCACACTCAACCAAAATCTTCCTCGAGGGGAGTGTAGCCTGTTTTCACGAAAGCCATAGGATCGCGTCGATTTGAACTGTCAGTCCCCGGGTATAGTGGCTATAAATAGGGGGGACCCAGGTCCCCTTTCCTTCGTCCTTCAAAGTGCATTCGAGAGATGAGGTCGCACATCCGTTCTTCAGCTCGCGTCTTGTATCCAGGGTAGTTCGCTTCCTCTTTCGTTTTTCGGTGAGTTCGCCTTGTCCTGCCCCCTTTTTTTACTTCATGTTTTTTGTTCCCTTTTAATTCATTATATCTAGCCTTAGTTTAGATAGCCTTTTGGACGGGGGTGGTGAGTCAGCTGGGGCTGAAGTGGGCACCTCGGCTCGGGCCATGGAGTTTCATCCAGCCGAGGTGGGTACCTTGGGGTAGGAGGTGGACTCCAACCCATCCGAGCCAGAGTCACCTCGACAAGAGCGCGTGGTTTCTGGTAGGTTAGCATCCACTCCATGCCGAGGTCGTCAACCAGATAGCTTTGGCCCGTCCTTGATGATACCAGATAGGCTCTTGTCGTTGATAGCTCGGTACAGGTTACTCGACATCCTAGTGTATAGTATCACCTTAGGCAACTTTCCTTGGGAGCACGGTCTTAACGAGATCGTGGTCTTCGAGGAGCAGCTCATAGCCGGGCTATGCTTCCCACTTCATCCCTTTATAGTCGAGATCATCAAATTCTTTGGCATCGCCATAGACTAGCTCCACCCAAACTCCATCCGCAACATTGTAGGTACCATCTCCCTCTTCCATAACTATAACCGACCTCTTGACCTTGCCATTTTTTCCTCGATCCTTTCTATCAAAAAGAATTCGGCCTGTGTTCTACTCGAGCACAGACGAAACTATTACATGTCTCCTCGCCCCGGGTACAAGTTGTTACATGAGCTCCCCAACAAAGTCCCAGCTTGGAAGAGATGTTACTTCGTGGTATGTAACGTGGAGGGGTGGCCTTTTCCAACTCACTGGAGGCCTGCCATCCAGGACCCCGACGTTAGGCTGGATAAACAAGTGCGGGAGGAAGTCCAGGCTTGGCCTGAAATTTGAGGACTTCGTGACCGAGGAGAATCTCATGCAAGCTGGCCTAAGCCCTCTTGGTAGGTCACCATCCATCTTACTTTTTCCTTATTTTATTTTACTTTGATGTTGCATTTGACTCAATCCGTTGCCAGTTACCATGGCTGACTTCTCCGCCGACGAGCTCTTTAAAGGCATGCAGAAGGGAAATAAGAAGAAGAGGGCCTCCAAGAAGGCCTGCATTCATTACGAGGTTCCCACCTCGAACGTCAATGCCACCACCTCCAAGCCCCTAGCCAACGCCGAACAGACACTAGTAATCGACCTAGTCGAGGAGGACTAGGATAGGGCTTCTCCACTTGATTTGCCTAAGGAAACTACATCTTCTGAGGCCTAGTGAGCTCAGGTGGCTACCCTATCGGGCGACGACATCCCAGCTCGAAGCGTCTTGAGTCTGAAGCTTGCTCTCCTCAAGAGAAAAGATATGGTCTTTGCCGAAGAGTTTACTCGGTGGGCCAAACTACCGGTCGCTCAGCTCGAGGGAAGAGCAGCGACGCATTGCATGGTGGTATGTACTCAATCTTCGATCACTTTATACTTAGATTTTTCCCCAATACTTATGTTTCATTTCTTCTTTTGTCAAGTGAACTCTTCGTTCCATGCCCTGGTCTACCAGTCTGAGACAAACTTGAAGAGAGCTCTTGAGGCCGAGGAGTCTTCCCCTAGAGCTCACGCCGAATTGAACTTGGCTCACAACGAAAACAACAAACTATTGAAGGATGTGCGAGCTCACAATGAATTGTTGACTGTTCTTATGGTGGAGAAGAAGGAACTGATGCAGCGCGAGATGACCCTTGAGAGAGAAGTCCAGAGCCTTGAGGAGCTAGTGAAGGAGCAGACTGACATCCTTCTTCGTTTGATGGAGGAGGCAAAGATCAAGGCCGTCGACGAGTACAAGTCTTTGGTGGAACAACACGAACTGCTTTTTGAGACTGGGACTGCGGGCTACCGCAAAGGCTTCAAGCTCAGCAAGTGGTTGACCCAGCATGAGTTTCCTCACCTCGACCTTAGCGCTATCACGACATCAAGGATCACCGAGGAGATGGCCATCGAGGCAGCCAATGACCTCGACTCCGAGGAGGAGAGCGACGACCTCCTCGGCAAAGAGACTGCGGAAGGGGAAGAGGGAGGTGATGCTGCCGATGCTGCCG